TAGGAGTAATGTGAACACTTGCACTAGACCTGGTCAGGATTCTGGCTGCTGAATTTTGGACATACTGCAGCTTGTTCAGAGTAGATTTAGATACAGCTCCAGCTCTCCCGCAACTCTGAACTAGAAGAAGCGGTTAGAAAATGGACGGATCTCTCAACTTTCCAGCAAACAGCGGCGACTTAGTCTCCCCACGAGCCTTATTCATTGTAATGCACAGCCCACGAGCCACTGTGTGGAAATAAAATTAGCCGTTTTTAATCAGTTGGGTTAAAAAAAAGTAACTGATCCCAAAATAACTGATTCGAAATTATGTCCAGCCCTGACATCCACTGAGTGAAACATCAATTAAAGCATATTTTCCTAGTTATCACATCAAGTATCCCATTCCTCATCTTTCATTCATATTTGCCTACAGACTCAGTACAAACGATACACAATTTTGCATAAACTGCACAAGAGGTGGCGTCGATTGAGTTCTCACTAGCAATTGATATTTACATAATGCAAAACACTTTTATGTCTATGGTTTCTCGTGATATTTCTTCTCAAATGACTATTAATTGACATTTGCAATAAAGAAATACTCAAACTGCACTATGCGGTATTTAAAGTGATTTTCACACTGGCCCTAAGGCCGTTTCTGCTTACTTTTACTTTTTTCTCCTGTTTGATCAACAGTAATGAAAGACAAGTGGGCAGTGGAGCACCATGATATTTGTTCCTAATAATCAGTTTTATTCTGCTGTATAGCAACACCCCGGTAATCACTTGCACCAGTGGTAGAAGTTTAGCCATTAAACACGCAGTTCGTGTAGCTGAATACCCAATTCATCATCACCGGACAACCACATTTCTACGTGGGCACCGATATTTTTAAAATTAGGAAATAACAGTCGCTTCACGTGTGAAGAAAAAAACGTGTTAAACTGTGTTTTTCCTCTTTAAAGAAGTACAAGAAGTAATTAAAAGCGAAACAGTCTTTTCGATGTTTCAGGTTAAATTCAGTTTAGTCATTTTTCAAGAAAAAAACGCGTGACAATGCAGTGTCTGAACAGCAGCTCCTTTATTAACAAAGTGTGAGCTACGCCGTTTTCTTCGTTTTTGCTTGTGTTTACTTCGTGGCATCATAATCTAGCTGAAAAACTGTTTTAAAAAATCCATCAAAACCACAAAACACTGAACAACATCATGCGAAAAGAGAAATGGTCTGTTGTGTCAAACACGATTTCCTGCTCGGCGTGTACTAAACTCAGATCTCTGAAGTGCAGGCCGCCGAAGTTTATTCATCTTCGCTGCTATGACAGGTAAGAAAATTAGAACTAGTCAAAAACAAATTTCATTGTAAGTGGTTCTGCTTCGCGGGCTTTCGGAAAATAACGCACGCACACCTGATTGCATCAAGAACAGCAAAGTTCTGCTCAATCACAGGGATTGCCGGGCAAGCGCAGGAATTCATAAAACACACACCAAACAGGGGAGCATATTAAATTTGTTCCCGGAGCATAACATGAATAAACCATTTGCTATGTATATCCTCTCAAGCGTAGCTGCTGCTCTCAATAAAATACAAGCTGCGCTTGTGTTCTGCGGAGAAAAGCTCAAATGGTCTCACAGGTGTTCTTGAAGGAATTTAAAAGTCATACAGTTAATTTAACCTTTGAGAGAAAACAAAAATATTGTATCCACGGGCTATAGGAACATCGCTAATATAGACAGACCAACCAGACTCAGACTCAGATGCTCGCAAAAGGAAACGAATATACACAACTTTTTGTGCTATTCTGAAATGATCCTCATGACACAGTATGAAGTGTGGAGGGACTAATCTACGCTAATAAAGGATATGTAGAAAGTGATGTTAAAATTAATATTATATTCGGAATATTTAATGAAAATACATGCATTGCCCTATAAGTATTGGTGAGTTATAGTCTTCTCCCCAAGGAAAAGGGTGTCAATGTTTCAAGTGTTGAGCGTTATTCAATAACAATTTACCTGGAAACCAGACAAACCATTCCACCGGGTTAAAAATCCAATTTCAACTCACCCCCACAAGACTCTTCTACGATGTTTCCTAGAGTTGACTGTAAAAGACGACGGTATTTCAAGCAGTAGACCAACGCTTAGTCGTTCTCGATCTTCAATCGCTTTCGTTTGGTGAGAGTTCAGCGCTCGCAGTCCCGCCGGCCCAACGTGAAACTGCACCTGAAAAAAAAAATCGCTCCTGATTTGGAATGACTTAATCTCTCGATTTTTCTTGCTCGATCTTCTGTCAGAAACGGTTCAGTCCTGGTAAGGAGAGCGCACCCCAGCGATCCCTACGTGGCAGAAACAAGGCGCAAAGTGAGGGTACCCCCTGGACAGATGTACACACTCGCGTGTCTCTGGCGAGGAAACTCTGGCCAAGTAGGAAAGCCAGCTGCCATATCACCCTGCAACTCCCCACTGGAGCACAGCAGGTGAGGGCCTGGTCAGTACCTGGATGGGAGACCTGGGAAAACTAAGGTTGTTTCTGGAAGAGGTGTTAGTGGGGCCAGCAGGGGGCGCTCACCCTGCAGTCTTTGTGGGTCCTAATACCCCAGGATAGTGATGAGGGCACTGTACTGTAAAAAGGCGTAAAACCGAGGTCCTGACTCTCGGTGGTCATTAAAAATCCCAGGGCGTTTCTCGTCCTGGCTACATTTCCCTCTGGCCTTTATCAGTCATGGCCTCCTAATAATCCCCATCTCTAATCTGGCTCCATCACTCTGCTCTCCTCCCACCGAGACCTGGTGTGTGGGGAGTGTACTGGTGCACTATGGCTCCCATTGCATCATCCAGGTGGGGGCTGCACACTGGTGGGGGTGGAGGAGGAGAGTCCCCGTTACCTATAAATCGCTTTGAGTGGAGTGTCTAAAAAACGCTTTATAATTGTAAGGAAGTATTATTATCGGGGAAGAACATGTAAACTCCACACAGAAGGAGCACCAGCCCGGACTCAAATCCGAATGCACAGCATCAGTTCTTAACCGTGATTATATAGATCCATTTACGTGTATAATAAATATATACATTTATCATGTGATATTTATAAAACTGGTCTAAACCGGGCACTCGGATTAGATTTCGCCCATCTTGATGCGACCCTGTTTTGTAATAGGCGACAATTGCAAATGTATGGTTCAACACTTTGTCTATGGTCCGCAACAGCGGCGGAGTGGGGACACGTGTAACTAATGTGTGTTCCGTAGAGGTAACTCTGAATCGGTGATCCATTGGCCTGGGCTTGGGGGGGGGGGACTGCATCGGCAGATGGATTGATACTGTCTCGCTCGGTGTACTGCAGCGTGTTCCTCTCCGCCGTCTGGAGGTTTAGCATTAGTCTGAGTAACGTAGGGTTGATATTTTTAGAAACATTAGATTTTTTTTTTTACTTTGCCGAACTCGGTGGTTGAAATGGCAAGCGATGGTACCGCGAAGCTGTCCAAGAACCTCTTACGAATGAAGGTAATGTGTTGTAGTGTGGCGTCTCAGGACTCCTGATCGATTTGGTATCGGGCCTTTTTTTTCCCCGTGTGTTAAATGTTGAAAATTGCATGCTCCTTTCCCAAGAGATTCTTGTTTATAAACTGTAAAATCATGCACGAGTTTATAGTAAGATATTAAGGACGTGTGTGTCATGAAAACCTGGATACTTATTAAGAGAGTACTCCATTAATATCCGACAAAGTGAGTGCTTTTGAAACGCGTTGAGAGGGCTATGAACGTAACTTTTAGCCCATGCGTTTGATAAAAGTGCACTCGATTTTCATAATGTAGTAGTTTATAACCAGAAGTACAACAGTCAAGTAGATTTCTTTCATTTGTTTAAGTATCTGCTATTATCAGTAATGTAAATATCCTGTCTGTCTCTGTATTTAATCCGTGTGTGACGGTCCCATTATGAAGCCTGTTATAGATCAGTAGAATGTCCTCTGCATTCCTCGGGTTTCATTTCCTAATCTGCCTACAGAATCCACGGAAATGTTAACTACTGCCGCTGAGGAGTTTTTTTTTTTTCCTCTTTTACAAGTTGCTTCTTTTTGGTGACATTTGCAAATGTACATATCGGGGTATGTCAGAAGACCTCGGGTGTTCCTCTGCTGCTGATCCTAATGGAGAGGCTGAACCCACAGCAGCTTGGCGAGTTTCTCTGCCAGCTACTGTGCGCGACTGCAAAAATGTACTGTAACCAGTTTTCTCAGCTCATCGAATACCCTGATGTGCAAAAGGAACAGAAAAGACCGATAAAAAGATGTAATACTGTTATACGCTGTGAAAGAAACTGTATTATCTTCTGTTTCATAGTAGTATAATGTATCTCTACGCACAGCATGACAATTCTGCCTCCGTGAGAAAGCACGGAGATGAAGGAGCGGTTCTTAGACGCACAGTGAGCTCCTTTTTAACCAAAGGGCTGTGGGAGTGTGCAGCTACACAGCTAAGCTGACGAGGCTGATACCCTGGCTTCTGTCAGGAATGAGCTGGATGAGAGCCTACGATCAATTGAGTACCGAGCTGGGCACATGGGGCCTGATGGCTTCCTCTCATCCGTTACTGTTCTTAGTTATACATAGCGTGGAGTACAACATATCAAAAAGGGTGAGCTTATATATTTTAAAGAGATAATGTGAAATGTCTTCATTTTGAAGCTTTCTGTAGAAGGAAGATCAAATAACCCACCAGGTTTACAGATAATCGCACTGAAAGCCAGTGGCTTGATTTTTTGTCATCTCTGTTCAGTCCTTGGAACATTTGTCCTTGAGCAGTCTAAGAACTCTGTGTTCCTGTCTCTCCTGCCTGTTTTCTTTTTTTTTTTCCGTTCTGCACTGAATTTGTCATCACGGTGGGGCCCTGTAAATAGGGGGGGGGATAAAGCCCTTTCAAAAATTTTCCCGACACGCCGCTTCTCAAGAATTGTCTCGGGGCCTCGTGCATCATTCGGTCCGCTCGCTGCACCTCATTAACGCGCGAGAGATCTGGCACGGCGCTTCTTTTCGTTTGGGAGAGCCGAGCTGTGCAGGTTGTCCCGGGTTTGAATTACTTTAAGTATTCCTGTGAAATGGTAGAGTGCCCAGTAATTGCCTCCTGCTGTGTATCCCAAGCCTAAGAGAAGCTTGAGATGTTAAGACTGCTGGAGACATGTGAAGAATATTGGGGTTGTCAGGGAAGAGCACGCTTCGCAGATCCTGCCGTTAATCACCAAAGCACATGAAAGACAAAAGTATCAACAGCTCAATATGGTCTGCCAGTTTTCAAGATAGTGGGTTTACAGGTGCAGGTTTCTTTTTTTTCCCCCTCTTTTCTGGTGATCGTGTTTGCTGAGCTCGCAGATCTCCCTGGTATTTTCCCAATGAGTTCTGCTTTTGTGTCCTCTCCTCCCACACTTGGAGGGTTTATCCGACTCATTTCTCAGACATCGGCCGTTTCTGTCCAGAAATCAACATTGTGAAGAGCTTTAGATGCGGCGTGTTTTAAACACGACTCGGGGCTCAAAGCACACGATGCACAATGTGCTGCTTCAGTAAAGAGATGTGGACAAAAATGTTTTCTTTTTCTGATAAAGAAAAAAATCTTGGCCTTTGCTAGGTTCTTGGCTTTGTGGGAAAACACAATCACACAGGGAGGGAACTCTCTGGCTCACTTTTATTAAATAGTATGTCTGGCCTTAACCCCTGGAGCTCAGCCTCTTGAGTGATGGCAGTTCAGCTGTGCGAACAGGGCAGGATTACAGCTGGTCAATATAGGATCCTGCAGATCTGTGCTGTGCTTTTTCTATAGTCCTCACTACCCC